CATCTACCCAGACCTCCTTATGCAGATTTTAAAGGATATAAATGGAAATTTGTTGTATGAGGACATACAAATTGTTTATGAGAACATCCAACTGAACCCTAACTTTTGCATGGGTTTTATTGCCAAGTATACACGGAATGTATTTAACTATGAACGCTTTTTGGAGGTTGTGGCATTAATACTGAATATTCAAACACAGCATTTATAATTTATATTATTTTCTATTTATTAGCCATTTTGTAGGTCTTAAACAAGGTGCAATATGTTATTTCCTATTCTATCATTTGTATCCTGAGTAGATACAAATTGAAGCCCAGAAAGTCTTTCTCAAACTTTTTAACATTTGTTTTGAAAAGCTTACTTTTTTGACAGCTTGCTGTCGATTTGGGGGATATAATTCACCTTGAAAACTCAGAAATAATGCTACAGTATGGGACACTGATGCAAACGTCAGTAGGAGTAGCAACAGTCATAAATATAGGATATTATACCGCAGCAAATTTGACTGAAACTTCAGCTCCGTCCAGTAATTCTCAGAAGAAATAAAATATTGATTAAAACCGATGTAGCGAGTTTGAGTTGTACAAAAACCGAAAAACAGTGAGTTCTACACACTGTGTGAGGTCTCAGTGGTAGCGGTGTTTACCAGAACTGAGTAAGAGGAACCATCAAAAAAAGAAACTGCTCACAGTACTGTATAGACACGCTTTGTTACCATCACATACAGTGTCCCAAGTTCATATTAAATGCATAAAGTGAAACTAGCATATGTGTAAAATTCCTCAGAGACAGAATTGTTTTTCATACGCAGTACAACAATACTAACAGCAGCTGAGTGTGTACGAACATGTATAACTTTCTCAAACACAAATACGAAGTCTGCTCCAAAACACTAACTTGCATATACACATGAAATCTGTAACACATATCTAAACCTGCATGTATCAAGCTTTTCATAAAACTCATACATTTATACATTAGTCTCTCACATGAACACACGTGCAGTGCGGCTGTCTGCCTCCCACATGCAGTGTTTGTGACGCATAGGAAAAGTCATTAGACCCGCACTTCCTCTCCAAACAGAAGAGAAAGAAGTAAAGAGCGTCTTACATGAAACACACAGGAAATGTGTGGGTGACTGACTGGATGTGTGTGTGTGTGTGTGTGCATGTTCGTGTGTGTGTGTGTGTGTGTGTGTGTGTGTGTGTGTGTGTGTGTGTGTGTGTGTGTGTGTGTGTGTGTGTGTGTGTGTGTGTGTGTGTGTGTGTGTGTGTGTGTGTGTGTGTGTGCGTGTGAATGTGTGTGTGTATGTGCGTGTATGTATGATTGTGAGTGTATTGGTCTGAAGTTCTGCTCCCAAGGCTGGTGACCAATGGCTTGTAATTGCTCGCCTTTGATTGCTTTCATTGAGTAGACTACAGCCACAATTACAGCCAATTAGAACACACAGCTCATGGTCAGCCTGCTCAGTACACACATGTGTTCTAGTGGGTCCATCATTTGTCCAAATCCTATACCCCTTACTTTCAGAGAAACATTTGACTTGAGAGTAACCACTATAATTATGTATATATTATGTATTCTTTGGAAACCTTTATATTTTAACATTTGCAACAACGTTGGATGTGCATTGTAAAACTATCCCACATTTCACAAAACGTAATTATTATAACAGCCTACCAGATTCGATTAAAAGCAATATTATGAAAAGTATTATGAATAAAATATTACTGTAGGAATGATTTGTTAAGCTTTAAAGAAAAACACATAACAATTATGGCTTGTATCTCTGATATTTGAGTTTGTGTGCTGCATCATGCTGGATGTGTTTTGACACAAGCATGTATTTGGCTTCAACTGAAGTTTCATTTCCCCCTTTGTAAGGTACACACAGTTGGAGCTTCTGCTTTTTATGGTTGTAATTGTGTAATGTGTGTGTATGTAAAGAGATGTGTGTGTGTGTGTGTGTGTGTGTGTGTGTGTGTGTGTGTGTGTGTGTGTGTGTGTGTGTGTGTGTGTGTGTGTGTGTGTGTGTGTGTGTGTGACGTGTGTGTGACGTGTGTGTAGTGTATGTAGTCTTCTACAAATTGGCCTATAGTCAATTAAAAGTAGAAGGGCAATCGAAGAGCCCAGACCTCCATCAAGGCCATTTCCATAAGTGAAAATGAATGGGTGTATCCGCCCCATGATTCGGATTGGTTCCAAAATGTAATGGGTTTTTCCTTGGCACACGCTCTGCCCTTTCACCAAGTTTCACAAAAAATGGAACATTAGTTTTCTTTTTTCTGTAATTCTGCTTACAAACTGAAAAATAAACCACCCTAACCATTGGCAGAGCTAATAAATAGACCATAGAGCGAGCTATCGTAACAATGACAGGAAGAGAGGAAAATATCGAAACAGTCAGAGGGTGAATCCTGGGGTTTGAACATCTGCTGAAGCTTCAGGAAGCTCAGTCACTTTATGGCTGAAGGTTGATGTCTTACCTGTCTGCACTAAATCATGCCAACATTTTAACCGAACATCCACACGCATATACATGAACACACACACACAACAGATAGGTGAAGGACAGCTTTTTTGTGTGAAAGAGTTCTCCTCCTCACACACACAAACATACAAGTGGATTAATTTTGACACCGCGTCTCCAAGCCTACCTATGAACATCTGTCTCCACAGCAGGATCCAAACTGCTAATAAACATGCAAAGGCATCCCCCCACACACACACACACACACACACACACACACACACACACACACACACACACACACACACACACACACACACACACACACACACACGATCTTTATTTCTCTCTGCCTGTATCACACTTGCACACCTTCTTCAGTTAAAATAGATAGGTACTTTTGGCACAGTCTCTATGTGTTACTGGTTGAAGTGTTAATACACACCTGTATCCACAGCCATAAGACATCCTCATCTCTTTTTTTATTCACCAGTTTTTTTCACCTTCAGGAGACAGAACTATTCATGTCCAGGCAAATCATGTTCATACTAATCCTTATCTAATAATAAACTGCATCATACTGTACGTGTTGTATGAACTAAGACACCTGTTTCCAGTTATATTCCCTGGGGTTTATCTGTCTTCACTGCTAACAGTAAACAGTCTCTTGGATGTTGTTTCTTGGCATGTAAAAAAAGAAAAAGTGCTGTTTGTGCACCTCTAAATATTCCGCACAGAGTTGGAAGTCCCTCCCACACAGCAGACAAAACATGCAGGTGTTACTAACTGTCGTCTTAGACTTTGGAGCTTAAGGGTTAACCGTTTGCATCGCCCTCTTTAAAGGAACCGTTTTATTCCGCCTTTGAAATGGGTTTGGAGGATGCAGTGTATGTGTCTGTGTAAATGTGTGTGTGTCACAGGTTGGAGTTCTGTTTATTTAACCTTGAAAAAAAAAAAATATTTGTGATCTACCTAAAAGTGCATGACAACTATGTGCTCCACATCCCCATTAGGTTTTATTTAAAATGTGAAGAGCCCTGGAACATACTTTCTGTTTGAAGGGGATACTGTGGTGAAAGTTCATTGCAAAGTGCAAAATCCAAATACCATTAGGCCAAAAACTGCCTAAAAACATTGCATTTTGACACTTTCAACATTATCTTAACCTTTTATGCACAAACTTACAATCTCTGGGTTTGATTATCGATGATTATCAGTGGTAAGTGTTTAATACTTTTCACTAGTAAACACTTGGTTTTTTGGATTTCTGAAATCAATAGGTCAACTTTTCCTGTTGCTAACTGTAAACCACCGAGACACAAGTAGTGTCACGGTTACTTTTTAAACTGTTGCAGTTTGAATGTCAGTGACAGCTGTGTACAACTGTGCATAGTTGGGTGCAACATGAAGGAAGTAACAATGTGTTGCAATTCTCCTTCTGTCCGTTACTTTGATTGATTATATCATCCACTTCTGCTTACACATTATCCGTTCACCTTATGGCGCATTCACACTACAGCGCGGAGCTCGCTTTAAGCGTGCCGAGCCGTGCGGGGCCTGTTTTTGGTTGCGCTTACACTTGGCCTAGTTCCGGCCCGGGGCTACTTTTTCACCTTTTCTCTGGCCCGACTAAATCGTGGTTCTATCGAGGCCAACAAACAGGGCTGAGTCGGGCTGAGTTTGCTAAACTAGAGAGAGAATCGCTGTCAAGGGGGCTACAACTACAACAAGATGAACATATTTTACCGTGATTTAATTGTAAACCCTGTGTGCCTTGGCACGTTTCATGATGCCGAAGTAACAACATACTGATACCGGTTAGTAAAAACCATGAATTAATGCTTTGACAAGTCTGCAGACAGACGGCAGGCGAAAAACCTTTTAAAATGCGTGTTTTCTAAATGGAGCTTGGCTAAGCTAACGTTATATATGCTCCGACCATCCACACTCACAACAACGGCCTATAGAGACATAAATAAACCAGCGACTGTATTCGCCATGACACAGGCAGTCTGTGGTTTGTAATTGTTTAACTTTTGTCTAGTTTCTGAACAGATATGAAGAGCTGTGAGCTCTGAGTGCTAAGAGCTAACGGCTGTGTTGTTTTTCTGGGGCGCTCATTGAAGATGACGTCACGGCTCCGCCTACATTGCGTTACTATAGATACTACCCCAGTTCCTAAACTGTAATGTGAGCGCAGCATTAAAGTGAGCCGGGCCTAATAAGGCCTAACCAGGCCGAGCGAGGCCTGCAGCGTAAATGCGCCATTATATCTACACATTTAATTATTAATTCATAATGTTTTTGTCTGGTAGAAAACACAAGAGGATATGTTCTTACATTTAATTAAACCGCTGGTATCAGACATTTCCCTAAAACACTGCTAAAACACATGTTTATTAATAATTTGTATGTGCTTTAATGCATTCAATATTACCATCTAATTACATCATAAATGCAGGGAACACAGTGGCTGTAATTTAAAAAGGTTATTAGTGTATATTGCCAGTAAAAAAACACATTAGCTTACCTTGGCAATCCAATTCCCCTGTACATTCCCATTGTAGGGGTCTGGAACCAGGGAGGATTCCTCCAGTGTTAATTAAACCGTCTGTCTTGGAGACAATTAAGGTCATGATCTCCCAGACCTCACCACTCCCACACTCCCTGAGAAGAAAGGAGAGAAGAAAAGAGACTTAATGAAGGAATAAAAGGATGAAACGACTTAATGAATCGCCTAACGAGGCCTGCGGCCGTTTAATAAGGGCTTATTAAAGCTTAATTAGAGCAATAATCCAGCTTGTTTGGAGTCAGTCAGTGTTGACTTGTGGCTGATTGTGATTTTATGGTAACTGCGTAAACAAGGAAGCATTGTCATTCCACAGGAAGGAAGACAAGTTTGACAGTGTGTGTGTGCGTGGTTGCGTGCGTGTCGGGTACAACAAAGAGGGATTCTAAAAAAGATTAGGTGAGAGCTTCAGGTGAGCTTTCAATTACATAGAGGTCCTAAAGTCACAATCTGGCCACATGTCGAAGTCCAATTCAAACACTATCCCACCTCTTTCCTGAACATGACAAAACTGAACCCAAAGCAGTTCTAAATCACGTAGTAACCTTTTGGTGTGGAAAGTAGGGTAAATGCGGAAGTGCCTTCAATTGCCATTCTCTAATGGCCAGCAGAGGGCAACTGCACTGGGTGCAAAAATAAATCTGATTGAATAAAAATCTATGAAAAATTATTCTACGTCTTTTTAAAGAAGTAGACATTTTACTGAGGAGTTTATGATCTCAACAAAATGTTAATTCCATACAGTATTGTCCCATTTGGAGTGAACTGGATAAAATAGTAAGATATGCTTAAGTGCAAGGCTTCCTTGTGTTTGCCAAGTCGCTGGTGCTCTGTGTGGTTTTCTCATATATGATACCTTTCCCTCTTCACACAGTTTCACAGATCAAGTTCTCAGACCTGATACCAGGAAGTTGCCCTATCAACTGAGTTTGTATAGCTCTAATGATTCAGCTGGCAGACTCCTTTCCTCATTGATTCAAACACAATACACAATGTTTCCTCTATAGACATGATCGTGACTCACATTAGTCAGAGACCAAGCTGCATTGTGCCTGAGGATACATCTGAAGAGAGTGTAAGATATACGGCGTATTAAGTGCTTCAGATTTTCATTATTCACACGGTGATGCCATCACCCCTTGGACGACTGAGTCAACCTCACAGCATGTTGTATCCTACTTGGAATGGGAATGCCAAACTGCTCTCATTACTGTAACTATCCTCTCTGCCTCGTGGTGATTCATTTGATATCAGTGATTCAGATGTTTACTGCCCACAGGCCTTTGTTATAAGGTTAGCAATATCCATTTTTCCTAGCAATGAAAAGGGGTTACTCATCCATCTTCCTGATCATGTGAGAACCCACCAGATGACCCTGTCAACTGAGCCATACAGTATGTTTATGATATGTTTATTCAAATGAATAAGATGGTGGGCAACCTGTGCTCTATTTGCCTTTACAACTGCCCCAGTTTGTGGACAGTAATGGTATGCGGTATGGTTATGTATTAAAAACCAGCCCACAAACATAATGGCCACAATAAATGCCAAACACATCCGCCTATGAAGTGTGGCCTGCATGGAGGTCGTCGTCTTTATCAGTAGACCCTCATGGTAAGGACTTGTAGATAAAGAAGTGGGCATGGACGCACCAACCCATAACCTTGTAGGTATGATTCAATCTTAAATGCAATCAACATTTGGATCCAGTACCAAGGTTTTATTAGTAGCATGAATAACATATTCAAAATGTACTGAAATTGGGTGGGCCTGTTTGGAGAGACTAGCACATACAGAAACGTAGCATAATATAGTATGGGTAAAAAAATTACTCAAACAGCCTTACATGAACATAAATAAATCCACACACCAACATATGTTTAATTTAATATATACTGTATATTTGTCAGGCAGGCATGTGTTCTTGTCTGATTAAAAGTACTTCCAACACAACACACATCACAATGACACATTAACTGGTGCGCATAGCGAGATTTAAGCAATATGACATCACATAGCTATCAGCTCTCTGTGAAAACACAGCATTTTGCTACAGTTGTGTGTGTGTATGTGCATGCAAGAGTGTGTCTGATTGGCATTTGTTTCCAGTGGCACATCATCTACCACAAATACACAAAGACACACACACACACTCACACATTGTCTCTCTCTCCTCGGGAAACTGCTGACAGCTAACAAACACACACCTTATAGCACTGTGGTCATCATTTCCCACCATGCTGTCACTTTCAGGGTGCTAATCCACCAGAGGAGTTTTAACTCATTTTGCCTATAGCACTTTTGGTTTTAGTTAAACACAGCTGAATGTGTCCTGTGAAGCACTTATGGTAGAGGAATTGCTTCTTCCAAGTTTCCCTCATTTATTTCCTAAAATCAAAACCATTTTGGAGGGTGGAGAAGTACTCTGTGTTTAGATCCAAACATGATGGGTTTTAGGTTTGTAACCTAGAGCTTTCCAATGTGGTTATGATTTTTCAAATGCTTTGAACCTTCTCGTTTCCCCAGATTTCGAGTTTAATACTGTGCTTCCAGAGTCTTGGAATTATGTCATTTAAACAAAGAGCAGACTTAAGTCATACTCCAGATGGATATTAACCAATTTTAGACATTCAAGGGTACACTTGGAATATCACACAGGGATGTGTGACAGCATTTCACAAGGAAGGTTTGAACCCTTGCAGTTACAGTTCATGAACCATGTCTCTGGCAAGTGTGCTGCTCAGCTAAAACACTTCGATCCCCTCCATTTATTTCCAGAACGCCAAACAGCTGATGATTTCATGCAGAAGGGCCAACGATTTCCATTGTTGTCATATATCCAGACATGTGTCAATTTTATGTCAGAGGATTAGGTATGCCAGTTATTGTTCTACAGCATGAGAATGATGTCAACTTTCCTGCAGGGCCTTCTCTGCGGGATGTAGACAGCAAAGCAGCTGGCAATTCCTGCAAAGATGCCAACACATCACATCATTTACAAAAGTACTTCCTTACTCTTCAGCTCTGTCAGTCGCACCCTGGAGAGTTACAGAGGAAGAAAAGAATGATGTCATCTTTCCAACAGCGCTCTAAATCTCAGATATTATTATGCTAATGCTCTGTGCACTGGAGGATGATGATGATGGTGGGGATGGTGGTGGTGGATAGAGTGGTGGTGATGATGATGGTGCTGGTCAGCGCAGTGGTCATGGTGGTGATGACAATGATGATGTAATCCTCCCTAAAGCCTTTGCCCTTTTATTTTTACAACGAGCAGTTTACCAATTCTCTCTGGAAAGTGGTGCAGAGAAAAAAAATCCTCCTCTGATATACTTATTTTAATTAAAAAAAACCTCCATGACTGGAGGGGTCACTACTTCGTCTAATGTCTCCAGTAATGTATCTATTAATATTAATACCATTAATGTATCATCAATTGGAAAGAAAATTGAGTTTACTTTGAATTATAACATGATGTGTTGGTCTTTCAACGTTCACCAGAAAAGCATATCCCATTATAAAATGTCTCATATTTATACAAAATATGACTCAAACTGTAATGAAATGATTGTAATCTGAATATGTAATTATGTCATTTGGTCCCATATAATCTACTGAACTTTTTTAGAATATATCACACTATTTTTGTTAACACTTTTTTAATCCTGGTTATATTCAGTAATACTGTAATAGCAATTAGGGCTGAACGATTAATCGATGTTAAATCGAAATCGCGATTTTAAATTATGCGATTATCAAATCGCAAAGCCTGCGATTTTTTTCTTTTTCTTCCTGTGTGTCAGTCATCCACACCAATTAGAAGTGCTGTGCTCCACATGTACCAGCCATTGTTAACCAATCAGAAGTGGCCCATGATAGAAGGCGATAGACAGATTGATCCAATCACCTGCCAAGTATCTTTGAAAGTGCCTGCCCTTTCCAAATGGCTTCCAATAGAGCTTTCAGCCCATGATAGAAGGGGATAGACAGATTGATCCAATCACCTGCCATGTACATCTATTACAGGGTGAATCTTAAACTGAAGCTTGACTTTAAAGCAACCCAACAGAAGTTTCATGTAAGTTTAGTTCTTTCACTCGTAGCTCGGGCTGCGAGGGTGCTAGAGACGGGAGCACGTTGATACGACCTTCCTAGCCGGAGATATGGCGGCATTTTACAATCCGTTGGGTCGCTTAAAAACAAATATCGCAAATTGAATATCGCAATATCTTTCAGAAAAATCGCAATTAGATTATTTCCCCAAATCGTGCAGCCCTAATAGCAATAACAATGTTCTAACTCTTTTTGCAATAGAACATTGTCAAAAAAACTAAAAATGATGTTTCTAAACAACCGACGTGCATACTTATTATCTTTCAGAAATAAATCTGTGCATATTATATTTGCAGTTTTAAACACATGGTTACCTTTGTGAATTGAAACAAAACAAAACATAAAAACAACAACAACACTACTTGGTTTGGTTTAGTAAAAAAATATGCTTTCGCGTAATTTAAGAAAGCCTGTTTCCTGACTTGAACCATGTACTTTAAAATACAGTATGTCAATGTTAACTTATTATTTACACAAAAAACATTGGTCCCCTGTGTTAAAGTCCTGTGTTTGTGAAACACATGAACCCCAAGCAGTTTAAACATGAAACTGCTCTTGTGAGAGCGTGTTACTATATATTCTTTCCATGATTTATGATGTGGTATCGATATATTAGTGTTATTTCATCAATACAATTATGGTCAATTGACCTTATTCTACAAGCTGAGCAATTGGATAGTTTGGACAGTACCATCTCCCCCACTCCACTGTAAAATAAACTACAATGATTAGGCTGATCTACTGTCATTACTGTGTTTTCTCAATAGAGCCCACATGTTTATAATGAGTGTAAACTGTAGGCTCCAGTGCTGAAGAGGCAGTCCATCCTCTATCCCTACTCAGCCCTGATGATACTGTGCTCCTTCAAAAGCAATTACTTCAACATGCTCAAATTCCAAATGTGAGTGAGTAACTGTAAATCATCATGAACCCATGCTCCAGACAAACTATAGTCCTCATTGTTTCCATTGTACTTTACT